TAGTTCCGAGACATGCCGTCGAGCTGCAGGTTGCTTTTTTGTGTTTCATCGGCAGTAGACACGTAGCGGACGCTGAGCGAGAAGTGGCCGCGAGGCTAAGACTCCGCCTCAACCCTTGTTGAAAGCGGCTTGATTGCGGAGCGAGGTCACATGGTCAGAGAGTATTCACGGACTCGCATAGGGCGTTCTGGCATTCATACTTCAGCGGAGCCCATGTTTCCGGGTGCTAAGGCAGTTTGTGGGTCGCAGCACACACTTGCAAGTACGGACCTTATGCATGCACCCTAAAAACGCCGTAGCTTACTGACCGACACGCTCACCTGTGCCGCGAACCTCATTCAAAGCGTGGACTTTCTCACGGAGCAAGGTTTCCAGGCGGCCAATTAGCGAGCCTAGCTTGCAAGCCAAAAGCCCAAATTTGGCACTTGGGGTATTTCAGTGTTTGGTGTGTGGGTAAGCCGCAGCAGCAGCAACTTGCAATCACTGTAAATCCCTCTGAAATGTTATTACCTCTATAGTCAACAACTAAGCCTACTAAGCCAGACATCGCGGCTGAGAAAGTCCAGGCTATCCCAACCGTCCCAACCCGGCACGGTGTCGGAACCTACACCGGGTGCCAAACTGTGGTCGGACAAGGGCCGAGCTGCACAGGTCCAGGGCACGAGACAAACAGGCCGCAGGGTTTCTAGGTTGTTTCTGCAGGCTTGTTCTAGGACCTTGCTGATCATGGCTATGCTGACATGCAAGGTCAACTGTCAAGCTGCATCTACTTCCATACTCGAATCGCGCAATGCCTGGGTTGTCGGAGGCCTTGTAAGATGCGAGAATGCAGCCGTTCATCATCAGCGGTACCTGAGCCAGCCCTTACACCTGCAAATTGCCCTAACTGAAACCTTCCCAGCCATCCCAGACCCAAGAAGGCCACAAGCCCCCTACCCACGGCCAAGACCCCAGAAACCCGAAGTCGAGTGGTCCTCGGATTCCCATTCCCAAAGGACCATCTCACAGCTCTCTGCGACATTAGGTCTTAGCCGCTTAGACCCACAGAAGGGCTTTTGATAAGTATTGGTTGTGAACAGGCAACACAAAAGGCGTTTTGCTTCGCATAATCGCAAGTTCAAGGTTTTGAGCCGCCGGCGATATGCCGGCTAACGCAGGGTGCAGCGACCGCCTCCGCTTTCTATTACGCGCCAAGGTCTTCGACGGTGGTGAGAACCCCTTCGTCCTGCGTGACGCCGAGGTTCATCAGGCATGCTGGCTTTGTGGCGCGGGCTTCTTCTTCTCCTTCTCCTTAGCCATCTTAGGGTTATAAGGGGGCAGGGTGTGGGGGGGGGTGAATGAGTGAGGGCATAAGCGAAATGCAGGAGATAAATGTGTCCCTGGTCAGCATCCAAAGCGAGAAATCTGAATTCCGAAGGCTCTGATGACCTTGCCTTCCGGCGTGCAGGCAGGTGCTGCAGCATGTCGATGTCTAAATGTCGGTACGCGCGGGCTCGATGTTGCACTGCTGAGCCTGCAGAGGGAACAGAGCCTTGCAATTCCAAGGTTGGTTGAGAATTTGAGCACCTTGCAAGATTGATGCTTTTCTCCATGTCTCTTCAGGGCGTGCACTGCACTTGTCATCACGGACGTTGATGACAGTTCTGCTTCTCTCGATGCTTGGGAGACGTTGCACCCATCGAGGATGTCAAAACATAATCGAATTACAGAGATATCGAGCACCCCCCGCAAACGTACCATGCTGGATGTTGAACACAGAGCACAAGAAACCTACCCGATTCACTTGACATGTCCTCACGTTGCCGCCCATTCACATGTGAGTCCTCGAGGTGACGATTATCGTAGATGCCTGCCACGCAGGGAGGATGATGGATAGGCACGCTCCGATTCGCTACGTGTTCGCTTGCAGCCGATCCGTGGACTATCAGCAGAAGAGTACTTAACACTTCACAAAGTGGAAGCCCTGCAATCAGTCCATGAGTAGCTGAGTGGCCCTATATACCCTGGATTAGACATCTGAATGAACACCACCCGCACATCCGGCAGGAGTGCGTACTGTAATTACTGCATTCTGTGCCGGAACAGTCCGAAGGGTTGAGTACGAATTGCTACAGCCGGGACCAGCAGCGCAGGCCCAACTCCATGCCCAACCCTGAAAAAAAGAAAAGACCATGCCAGAGGGCCCCCCAGAACTTCAAAGTCTCTGCTCGAAAGCCTCTGCTCTGACAAGCATCCCCAAAGCCCACTCCACAGGGCTCTGGGTCCCAGTTTAGGGTTTAGGGTTTAGCGTTTAGGGTTTCGGGTTTGGGGTTTAGGGTTTAGGGTTTAGGGTCCCAGGGTTCTTGCGCCAGGTCGGCTGATGAGAGGTTCCCGTGCGCAGCTGCAAGGGGGCAGCGGGGGCCTTCACTGTGCTGTGCCTATAGTTACATATGGTTACTAGACTACTATAGTTACTATAGTTACTATATCACTATAGTTACTATATTACTATATTACTATATTACTATATCACTATATTGCTATATTACTATATTACTATATTACTATATTACTATATTACTATATTACTATATTACTATATTACTATATTACTATATTACTATATTACTATATTACTATATTACTATATTACTATATTACTATAGTTACTGTAGTTACTATATTACTGTAGTTACTATATTACTATATTACTATATTACTATCTTGCTCTAGTTCTACTTTAAGATTGGCATGCTCGGACACATCTTGCTTATTGTTTAGGCATCTCTCTCTTCACGCGTTTTTTTTTCACGAAGCCGGCCAGGTGGTTTGCATGCAGGGTCTATAGGGTGTATCCGTGACACTCGACGACGCAGGTACGTTTCTCGGGGCCATGTGGACTATGACAAGCTTCGCGCACATCCGGTCCGGGGGGGCATAGGGTCGGGTTTCTATGTAGGAGAGCTAAGTGTGGTGCAGGGCTGCTCACTCACTTGACTAAATTGGCACATTGGCACATGGAAGTCTGGAGCAACCCAGCCCTGAACACCGAACAGCGCTTTGGTCTGGCCACCAAGTCCTCAAGTGATTTCTGCTTTCGAAAGCACAAACAGGCAAAGGCGCAAAGGCGCGGCAGAAGCAGGATAAAACAATCAGCAGAAAGCTGGCAGAAGCAAGCACAACGCAGCCAGCAGAAAGCGAGACCCAAAGAAATGAATCCACAAGCAACAAAGCACATCCACCACATAATTCGGACCATAATTAGGATTCCTTGAAAACTCCGACGAGTAGGCTACGTGGGCTAGGGCGCTTGCAGACAAAGCGCTACCCTAGTCCAGGTGACCTAGCTGCTGCCTTGATCAGATTTCACCTGCTGCGCTGCACATCACCGACAGAGAAACAACCCAACACGGAGCTGCCTGCTGAATTCTGGCCTGGTTTCAGCCGTAGTTTCAACTTTGTGAGAGACTTGGCTTTACTTATAAGCCATGCTCCGCGCAAGACGTGATAGCTGACCCTCACGGCCTTGGGAGGTGCTGCCGCGGTTTCTGGACTGGCCGCAGTGGAAGGCTTGGCTGTGAGTTTCAGAGTGGAGCTGCCCTTCAAAGGGATGATAGTACCCCCCCATTATCACCCCCTATGAAGGACTGTTAGTATAAGGGGGAACCATCCCAAGGTTCAGGGCGCAGTGGTGTCCACTGCACATTCCTCTAAGCAACGTTTGTAACAAGTCTTGCCGGGCTCCTCCTGAGCAACTGGGCGTTTGGTCCAGAGTCTTTCGTGGACTCTTCCCAAATTAGGCCAATCAGGCACATTGATGGTCGCAACCATACGGGCTTGTTCCAAATCAGGCTGCTTTTTTTTTTTTTTTGGGGGGGGGGCTCCTTTTGCAGGGGCTTCAGTGAAACAGTGAGTGCGCAGGCGAGGGGTCTGGAAGGTACGACGCACGATGGTCGAGCGGAAGAGTATGTGCGCAGAAAGTATGCACGGCAGAAGAAACATGGAGAGGGACGGATCTACAGGCGAAGGAGTGAGGAAAGAGGATAGACACTGTCTACGGGGGAGCAAAGGGAGTGGGTGATGGGTGCTCATCGGCGGATTGGATGCCGCCTTAGTGTCGCCCCCGGGGTCCCAGGCCCACCGAAAACTCCAAGAGCTCCGGACAAATCCCCGTAGGTCCCGTAAACAAATTGCAAACAGACCGCAGGCAAAACCAGCAGTCTGTGCGCTCATGGAGTGACAGACGCAGAAGCATACGTTCAGCACCCGCATGAACAGCACACCGTGAACTCCTGCAGCGTCTGGGTGGGCTTCACTTCTCGCAGCTGGGCGTTGGGACAAAACGGTGGGATCCATGTTAATAGAATATTACACTAGTAAGACACAATGTATGCTAATAATAACAGAATAATCTAGTACTACAGTAATATGGTCATATACCAATTTACAAAAAGCAGGGTGACTGCTGTATATGCGGGCTCATGCCATCCCATACCTGTCACCATACCTTTACCTTGCTGTTCCGCACATTTTTACATGCGTTTTTCTATTCGAGCAAAACCTACGTAGGGCCCTTAAAAGGTGGGATGAAGGTAGGTGAACACCATTAGGATTCCCCAGCTAGCTTCCCACCTGTGAGCCAAAGAATATGGCCCCCTGGTTTAGGGGTTAGGGTTTAGGGTGTAGGCTTGAGGAATGGGCCCAGTTCAGTCGTCTACCCTCCAAGTAGGAAACACCGGCTTGTTGAATGACAGTAGAGTGAGCTTAGCTGCTCCGCGAGCGGACTACGATGACCATCTACTCCTGCATAATGTCTTGTAGCTGCTTATAGTAAATTTAGGGCTCAAGGTCTACGGTGGACATGGATAACTTATCTTTCCAGGCAGGGATGCCGGGGGCAGGGGCTCTTCTACACATTGTAAGTTGCCTCCGAAAAGCCCCTGTCAGCTGCTTAAACATGAGTATTGTTGACCATGGCCCATTTAGCCTCAGGTCTATGTCCAGGTTGACTTCGCATCGCAATGGCGATACTGAAAGCTTTCCATTCACAAGCTGGTCACGTTGCAGGGCTGCGCATGAGAGCCATCCTTGCTTGGCTTTGCCTCCTGCCTGCCTTGCGGCTAAAGGCTGAAGACCTAGACTCCAACTGCAATCTCTCGGAGTCGGAAGGGGCTGATCTGGCCCTCTTGCAGTCGTCGAAGCTCCATGACTCCAGCCGCTCCCAGGCGCGTCTGGAGGCGCTGCTGCAACGGGCAAGTGAGGCCTGCCCTAAGGCAACTGAGGAGTTCATGGGGGCTCAAAAGATAGCAGGGCAAAGGATCCTATTTTCGCGCATTTTGGGGCCATACTTCCTTCATCCCACCTACCTTCATGCCACCTTCTGAGCCCCATGAGGAGTGCCTCTTGATTCTGAGCGATGTGCGGGACAAGGTCTGGCCAAGGGTGCAGGAGGAGGCGAACTGGTCGCAGCCTGCTTGGCATCCTGCATCTAGGCTGGGACTTTGCTACGGCTTGGGGTTTGGGGTTTAGGGGTTTAGGGGCTTTCCCACAATTTTTCCCTATGCCTCCAAGCACTATTTCGGTTGCTATTCTTGAGGATATAAATCCTGCAGGCCTTCATGTACGAGAACTTTTGGGAATTCTGGCCCCTAAAAGCCCAGCAGGTACGTAACTGGAGGGCCAATCACTTTCTAGCTTTAGAGGTTCCTCTATTTTCATGCTAAGTTAAGGGAGCTAAAGGTTATTATTCATTTTTTATTTTTTTTGGGGGGGGGGAAAAAGCAACCAAGGCATGGACGGACACTGAGGAGGCAAAGGGAGACGTAGGCTGCTCTCAGAAGAAGCAGACCATGTACTATCGCCATACCTGGAAGGCAGCTGGCCACACTGTCTTCGAAAATCTGAAGCGCATCAGCACCCACTGCAACTCAACCTTGGAAGGCCGGTGGTACCCGAGCTGGTGCCAAGACTACAACGCCGCGGACGGTAAAGATCACGTGGCTTACTGGTGTAGGGTTTAGGGTGTCGGGAGAGGGGGAGTGAATATCAGTACCATTATAGGGGGTTATCTAGGGATAACTCTGGGGATCTTCTCCCCCACTCCCTTGAGCACCAGTAAGGTGGCCTTCACCTTTGTCCGAGATCCAATCTCACGGTTCATTTCTGCGTATGCAGAAATCGAGGGGAGAATGCGCAGGCATCTTTACGTTGTTGGGTTGCATTTCGTGAACCTAAATTCACCTTCAGATACAATAATAAGGACACCCTGTAATTTACTATATACCTCTAGTATAGTAGCTCAAATTAAGTTACCACAATAAGGAAGCCTGATCATTTTTACTATGCAACCCTATTGTGGGACCTTAAATGAAGTTCCTGAACAGCAACTCAGGTTGGTCTGCGCAAAAATCTGAGCACATACGAGCCAGGGAGTACTCAGCGAGCTGCAAGATTCTTTGAGGCCTTGCTTGCGCACATGGGTCTTTGTCTAAGTTCGCTAAAATACTCGTCCCTATAGATACCGGTCCCCATGTAAAGGTCCCCCCATTTTGAGAACAGTAAGTTAGGCCAAGTCCCACATGCCTGAGCGGAAAGCAGTGTTCCAGGAACCTCTCAAACCAACCTCAGTTAAGAAGTTTCAGCGCCTCACATGACATAGCCACACATTTAATAGGAGCCCTCTGAAACGGGCAGGGTAGTGAAGTATTTTGTTCTTCGTTGTCTGACTTGTCCCGCTTTTGGGATTTTAGCCTTGTAGCTCCGCAGGACAGGAAAACAAGAAAGAGCGAATCAATGAAAGCAGGGGGCACGCCAGAAGTAAGCAGATGCATTGAAACCAAACAAGTTCAGAACTCCAGGAACAGCAACAACAAATTTGCATCCAGCAGTCACAGTTGCTGGAGAGTCCTAGTGGCAGCCTTGGTCTTGAGTTACCCAGGTTTAGGGTTTAGGGTTTAGGGTTTAGGGCTTAGGGTTTGCAAAAAAGGGTTTCGGGTTAGGGTGTGCAGGGTCTATATCGGGTCAAGGGTTTAGGTGCCGAAGCGCTCGGAACCTAGCGCCCAAAAACAAAAAGCATCCTCCCCAGAGCCCTTGAAGTAAGCACAATCATAGTTCGGTACCTGGAACCCCTGAGGAGCAGGTATCTGGGTGTCCAGGGGCAACGAAAACTCAACAAAATCTAACACATTCGACTCCTGTAGATCCCTGGAGAATCGTAGTCGCGTCCACGAGAACACCAGAGCCAACAAGACAGGGACTGGCACCACCCAATGTATGGGCAAGTTTAGACACTTAAAGCAGTCTCCCTAACATCTTCCGCCACCACTGTCTAGGCAAACGTTGAGCACGCAATGTGCTTGCACAAAAATGATAACGAACGTGTAAACCTGCAGGGTTTATACACCTAGCCTAGCAAGAGATACAGGGGCCTTAAAGTTACTGCATAGCAAGCACTTTGAGGCTCAAGTATCTTCCATATAGGTACATCGGCCCTTGTGGTTTGACTATTGCAATGTGCACCGGCCAAGATTTGCGACGCCGCCCAAGATCTCCTTCCGTTGGCTTTTTGCCCAGCCCAAGCCCCCTTCCGTTTGCTTGTTGCGTTCAGCATGTGAAATCTCCCATGGCAAACCTTGTGCGGGTGATAGCTTTCCCATGATACCCCATAGTTTCCCACGTTGCCCCAATTTCTTAGACCCAAAATTAACCCAGCCGTACTCCATAAACAGAAGTATTTCAGTTTCGGGTTCTGAGCAACAAGTGTGGCAATTTCGAAGCCCATCGTTGGGCTCAAAACCTCAGCCGTGCCCCATACGCCCTCTTTGTTGCTCCCTATGGGAAACTTGTGATTCATAAGATTAGACGCTTGAAGCTGTTCCTGTGGACAAGTTTGTTGAGTTGAGCATGTGGTGTTGTGGTCGTCCAGCCTCCCTCCCGTGCCCACGCCTGCTAAAATGAACCACAAACCTCTGTCTGGATCCGCTCGTTAAAATAAAACCTTGTGAAGGTCTCTCTTATGGCAATACGTGGGCCGATACGAGCTACTTTGAAGCCATCCCCCAAGGATTTTTCGTGAAGCAACATTCATTCCTGGGGCTGGGCACGGCAATTGGGCGCTGCGGGGGCATCCAGCACTGAAGCGTCACACGCGTTGGCATTGTAGGAACCTTCCAAATCCACGGGAAAATCTCCTATGTCGTTTTCGGGAGCTCCTGAGCATCACATGTTTTGTCCTCCCCTAGACCTCCAGTCACCTAAATATCCTTTTAACCCACCCAGGAACTTTAAACCCTAAACCACGCTTTGTCCTCCAGGAGTTCTTGCGGACGGGCATCCACCGAGATGGTCACCTAAAGGGCCAGCTCGAGTTCATGGCCCCCATGTTTAACTGCTCGGTGCCCATGGACTTCATAGGCAAGACTGCGACTCGGTGGGACTTTACTACAACTTCACCACATCACAGCTTTTGGGTTCCTCTCTTTCTTATTACGGGAGCCAAAAGTTAGACCTTGATTGTTGGGGAGTTAAAAGACTAGACGAACCAAGGAGAGCATGCAGCAAGACTGGAAGAGGCTCTTCAGCCGCGCGGGTCTGAAGTGCCTTCCTGCCTTCGACAGATCGCTGGGCTTGCACCCGAACGACGAGCATGACCAGCGGGCTATGGAAGCATCCCTGGGACTGGCAGATAGCGAGAGCGCGGGCACGCCTGCATTGCTGCAGACATCTGCTATCATGCGCTCCATGCAAGTAGCCCTCAAGGAGAACGGGGCGAGATACTTGCGAGCCTTGTGCTGGCTGTATTTGGCAGACTTCGCTGCCCTGAATTTTGAGCTTCCCCTCGAGTGTCAGCAGGGTCACTTGAAAAGCACGCTGCTCGCCGTGAAACCCAGTCTGCTGCTGCAGCGAGGTAGCTGAACAAAATGCTTTGTCTCTAGCCCGACACCTCCAAGTACCTACATCTGCTTCTCTTTGGGGTCCCAGTTGCCTCTATTTTGTGTACTTCGGGGGGCGGGGAAATTAAGCCCTAAACGCCAAACCCTTGCAGCCCCCCCTGCCTGTCCAGCAAAGCTGATCTGGTAGAGGGCTGCGCTTTTTAAAACGAAGCTCTGGCTCGTTGGCAGTCCCATTGGTTGAAAAGAGTCCGCAAGCACGTAGGGTAAGTCCTCAGGTAGGGTTATGTAGGGCTTATCTTATGGTATTTTGGTGTGTATATAGGGCTCCTTAGAAGAATTGGTCAGTGTACATTATGGTTTGGCGTCGTGAGTCCTGCAACCCCCCGCCCCCCCCCCCTTCCCCCCAAGATATCCCGCCCACCCCCCCCCCGCCCCCTGAACCCTGAAACGTAATTCTTTAAACCCTAACCCCAATCCCCCAACCACACGACCCTAAACCTGAAACTGCAAGCCCCAAATCTTAAACCCTAAAACAAAAACAGCCCAAACCCCTCAACCACACCACAGGAGCGGGGGGGGGGGGAACCACCCTAAACCCTTTCAAAATTTTGGCCTTCGGCTTGATCGATGTTGGTTTTCCCCGATCGCACCGCAGAGGGCAGTGTCACCGGGTATGAGGTCTCAGTGCAGCTATTTGGTTTATCCTCATTTTGCCAGGGTCTGTTGGCTCTGACAGTTCTGCAGTGTCCCCTGCACCCCCCCGATTAAGCTTTTCTTCGTGGAGAAAGTGCGCCTACACGGTTTTTCGCCTGGCAGCTACATGTCGCAAGGGCTGGTTAGGCATTTCGATATCTGACTGAGAGCTCGCTTTCCGACGCAACTCGACGTCTCCAGGCTTTGCCTTTCCAGGCGCCATCAGGCAATAGTCAGGGGCAAACCGATCAGGACGGCGTATGGGGGCGGATGGCACACAGCCTTCGGCAAAGACCGTCGAACTCTCCTAGCCTTCGTCGAAACTCTTGGCCTTCGTCGAACCCCCCTCCCGGCCCTTGTGGCCTTCGTCGAACCTCCGGCCTTCATTTAGCCTTCGTCGAACCTTCGCGTTTTTTTTCGGGCTTTGTCTTGGCCTTTTGTATCGGTCTTCGTCGAACCCCCTCCCCCTTCGTCGAACCTCCCGGCCTTCGTCGAACCTTCGCCCGGCCCCCCGGCCTTCGTCGAACTTCGTCTCGGCCCGTTGGTATCCCGAGTCTTCGTCGAAGTTCCCCGGCCATCCTGCTCTTCGGCCATCCTGATGTGTTTTCCCCTTAAATAGTAAATCCGGAACCTTAAGCACCAAGCCCCAAAGCCCGAACAGAAACGCCTTGGGAAGCTCTGACGAACATCAAAGCCCTGCAGAGGCACAGCTGCCTTCTGCATCTCCAGGCGGTGCGCTGAAATGCCAAGCCAGCAACTTAGACTTTCGATGTCTGGCTCGCGCAATGCCCCCCAAGACT